TTTGAAGGTAACATTCTACGTCCGGCACTAACCTGGGCGTAGCCAACTCTGAGATATGTAATTCACTGTCACCCTTGATCCTGCTTATTCCCCCACCCCTCTGCATACACTAAGACTCCAAGGTCCTTCTTATAGTCACTGCTATTAAGCCTGGTTTCACCCAGTCTTTTATTTAAGTATTAAATTAAATGCACGGTATATATTTTTTTGGTATATATCTTTTTTTAGGTAATTAGGGCAAAGAAGTGATGACAAGTTGGCCACACCCACCCAGCCACGCCCACCCAGCTAGTCATTAGGGCAGAGAGCCCCTTGCTAAACAAAATTTGAAGCCCAGAGTTGTAGCTTTTTAGCAAGCAGGGCTATCTGGAAGGAGATTCCCCCCGAGGAGGATTTCAAAGCGATACTTCTAATTATGAAGGGATCAGGTTTGAAAGGGCAATCCAATCAACCAAGGCAAGGGAGAGGGGAAGAGGTTGAATGCAATAAAGGTAGCAAGACATAATTGTTTCAGAAAGGTAGTTTACGGGTGAGGGAACTGTCATGGATAGGTCAATGCCTGGATGATACAGTGCCTCAAGCACCCAAAGGGAGGAACATGCAAATGATCCAGTCCTGAATGTAGATTTTTTCCAAATGGCTTCTTAATATCTCTTGGAGGAAGAGATTCTCTCAGCTATGGTTGATGGTCCAACCAGTACTGTAGTCATCGCTTGTCTACTGGAAGTTCAGAGGTCCCAGGCTGACCAATTTACTTTGTATTTTGAAGATAAAGCTGTCTGTATTTCTTTGGGTCAACGAGATATCGCCATGGGGAACAAAGCTCCACATTGGTGACAGGAAAGACATCCGGCCAGTAAACACTCAGCTCCATTCAGTTGCTCAGACCCCACCCCGCAAGGGATTATGGGGTCATTAAAAAGAAGATGATGATATCGCCATGAGGACTGAATGAAAGATGGATGAACCCCAAAATATATAATCAAATTAAAATTAAAACACCTGAAGATGAGAAGAAGCTCTCTGGAATTTTGAGACCCACAACTTGTGTTCTAGATCATTCTGTGTTTATGAAGTCCACCAGAAACAGGACAGCTTTTAACAAATGACCTTGTTCCCACATTGTACATCTGTTGTGAATTTCACCACTGTGGTTTGTGAAACATGTTGTGTGGATCCTAACTATTCTTTCTGTTTTTGATGATCTAATGCTTAGTTCCTAATTTTTAAAAAAAAATCTCATTTTTTGGAGTGGAGGATTGTTAATTTTCCCCTCCTAGAGATTTTACAAATAACAACAAACATAAATTAAAAATATTTTCCCCCAAAGCTGCAAAATTTTATTTCATGGCTGAAAGCTTAATCTCTATTGAGTAACATGATTGATTATAGACTCGTTTATTACAAAATTAAAACTGTAGGCTTTAATCAATTACCATCAATTCTAATTACAGATGAATTATATGAAAAATGGAGGGAGGGAGGGAAAGAAATAGAAGGTCGTGTTTTTTAAACAATGCTCCATAAGTTGTTCATTGGAGAGAAACTATTACCTTCATTAAATATTCCTTGAATGTTACCTGTAGCAAATTGTTGTAATTTCAATTTTAATCAGTTAAACAAAAAAGCAGCTCATCAGCAAAACACACAGTTTTCAGAGCAATCGATTCAAAGAAAAACTGCCTATCTTTCAGAGTCAATTTTGTTGAAAAACAATTTCTCACACAATATGGAACATCCTCCTCTTACACTAGGTACCTGAACGCAGAGGTGTCCAACCTTGGCACCTTGAAGACCTGTGGACTTCAATACCCAGAATTCCCCAGTCAGTGTGGTTGGCTAGGAAATTCTGGGAGTTGAAGTATTGGATGCCCTAAGCAATAAAAGTCTGAAATAATCTGCATCTCTCAAGCCAGTGATTTTTTAAACTGTTTGACCAAATTACCTTCTTTCCAGTCTCCATAATGTCATTATAGACCCATGGTGGCGCAGTTAGAATGCAGTATTGCAGCTACTTCTGCTGCCTGCCGGCTGCTTGCAATTTGGCGGTTTGAATCTCACCAGGCTCAAGGTTGACTCAGCCTTCCATCTTTCTGAGGTTGGTAAAATGAGGAGCCAGATTGTTGGGGGCAATAAGATGACTCTGTAAACCGCTGTAAAAGCACTGTGAAGTGGTATATAAGTCTAAGTGCTATTGCTATTATCCCATTCACACACAGCCCCTTTCTCAAAAATACAGATACTATTGCTTGACGCGAGCAATTCAGGAGTGCCAGTCCCAACCTTGATCCTCAATTCACAAAGAAGCAATTACAAATTGTTTCATTACCCCCAAGATACATCCAAATTGCCCCTTTAGCAGTAATTCCACATCCCAGTTTAAGAAACATCGCTTTAGGATGATTGCTCAAGTTGGATTGTACAACAGTCAGAAGTTTGCTTTGTTATTTCAAAAAAAAAGAAATGATTTGTTGCAATTGTCTCAACATTGGCACAGAGAATGTACTTGGGCACTTGGGGGCAATTTCAGAAAAAGACCAATAAAAACACCAGGGAAAGACGAATTTACGAGATTTAGCAGAGAAACAAGAATTACGAGGTTATATTTCTTGGTTCACACTGAGATAAACAGTAGAATAGAGGAAATAATAGTCGTGATAGCAACCTAACATTGTGGTCCATTGTTACCGCTCTCTGGTCAATTTTCCAATCTGATACTTTCCAGCTGTTTCCAGAGGTTCCTACACATCTGGAGAGTTCAGTCGCAGGTTGAGGAAAGTTGTTCTGTGGGATTAAAAGAGATGTGGCTCCTTGGAAGGAAGATATAAATAAAGCCTGCTATGTTTTGCTAGCTAACCTATAAAGGCATTTGAGTTTTGAGAGCCAGACCTTAGCTAAACATGCTGATAATAAAATAGCTAAGTAGGGTAAGAGTTGGCTAATAACTGGATGGGCAGCCATCAAAGGAACTTTAGGTTTGCAGGCAACGCTGAGAAGCAAGGGAATCAATGTCCTGGAAAAAGGACAATAATAGTATTTTTGTACTGTTTGCCAATAAAGTACATAGCTGTGTTTGTACAATATATCCCGTTGATATCCAAATTTATCTGAAGGAGCAGGTCATAATAGAACCAGGTGGGTATGTGGCTCTCACAAAATCTTGTAGCCCCAAAGATGGTTCTCTGTGGATATCAAAAATAGTGATGTTCTTTGTAGAGATTCTCCATCCTCCAGGTCATGGTTATCCCAAAAAAGTGCTTTTGCGGGAGGCAACTGGACTTTCTTGTTTTTTTCTTTTTGAAGATGTTTTGCTTCTCATCCAAGAAGCTTCTTCAGCTCTGACTGGATGGAGGGGAACGGAAGGATTTTTATTCCTTGCAGACAGCTGATCATTTGCATCCTTTCAGAGGGTCGTTGAGGCCACTTGGAGGTTTATCTGTGTCCTCAGGGTCACTTGAGTGGTGCAAATGGTTCCTGTAGTCTGCATTTTTTTTCCTCTGGCAATCCCTTCCTACTCCCACACCATTCAAAGGGTGTCCATCCCAAATTGTATAGCTAAAAGTCTGTAGAGATTCTCAGTCATCCAGGTCATTGTCCCAAAGGTGCTTTTTTTTCAGGAGACAACTGGACAACTGGATTTTTCTTTGAAGACATTTTGGGATGAACCTCCTTTGAATGGTGTGGGAGAAGGAATGCATTTCCAAATAAAAAAACTGCAGCTACAGGAACCATTAGCATTACTCAAGTGACCCTGAGGACACAGATAAACCTCCAAGTGGCCTCAACGACCCTCTAAAAGGATGCAAATGACCAGCTGTCTGCAAGGAGTCTAAATCCTTCCCTTCCCCACCATCCTGTCAGAGCTGAAGAAGCTTCTTGGATGAGAAGAGAAACGTTTTCAAAAGAAAAAACAAGAAAGTCCAGTTGCCTCCTGAAAAAGCACCGTTGGGATAGCGATGTTCTTGAACTTTAGCAGCTGGACAAGACTCTTGAGAACACCACGGACAGTCAAGAAAACTACCCAAACAGAGAAGTGAACCAATCAACTCAGAGTTTGTTTATTGATTTTTATTTTTTATTTATTTATTTTATTTTGTCAAGCGATTATAAGATTACAGGTATAAGTATAAACATGGTTATGAATACATGAAATGGATACATATAAGAAAAATAAAAAGAAACAGTAGGACAGGGACGGTAGGCTCGTTGGTGCGCTTATGCACGCCCCCTACAGACCTCTTAGGAAAGGGGTGAGGTCAATAGTAGACAGTCTAAGGTTAAAGTTTTTGGGGTTTGGGGAAGAAACCACAGAGTCAGGTAGAGTGTTCCAGACATTGACCTCTCTGTTGCTGAAGTCGTATTTCCTGCAATCAAGTTTGGTGCGGTTTACCTTGAGTTTGTATCTATTGTGTGCTCTTGTATTGTTATGTTGTATAGTATTGTATTGTTCTCCCTTGAGGGACAAAGAACTAGGCTCAAATTATCCTATTGTGGATACATTAGCTTTCTGGAGAAGGCTGTCCTGCTGGGAAAGAAGAAGGGAAGAAGAGGATGGCAGGAACGTAGGTGGCCTCAATTACAGTGGTGATGTATGCAGAGCCACAAGACCTGAAGGACCAGGTTAAGAAGAGATCCTCATGGAGAACTTCTATCCATGTGCTTGCTAACACTGATTTGATGGGTCATGATAAGTCAATCAGACCTCTGCAGTAATGTTTGTTATACTTGTTGAATTTCTTCACATTGAACTGACTAGTGAAGAATAATCATGCATGGGGGCGGGAAATGTGACGTCCTTCAACCAAGAAAGGATGCTATAAGGTGAAGGGCCTTTTTGATTATTTTCATGTAACTAAGAGAAAGATGGGGTAAGATTTACAGGGACAAATCCTGCACTAAGTTTTCCCAGATTTCTTTTCAACTGGTTTGACCTAACCTAATCATTTTGGGTTGCTGACGGATGAAACTTCATATTGAACCTGTGTTCCTTTCCCCCGCAGGCCTTCTAAACCTAGAGAAATTGCTCCGACAGTTCCTTATCTCTAAGGAAACTCTCTCCGTTCGGATGTTGGATGAAAGCTGGGATCCCACCCCATTGCTAAAAGAGATCAGGGATGACAAAACCGCCACCATCATTGTCCACGCCAATGCTTCCATGTCCCACACGATCCTTAAGAAGGTAGGAACAGGGGATGCTCACAGTAGTAGCTAATCTGTAAGGTTGGGATAGGATTTGCATGTTAACATTTGGAATTTGGGTTCAGGTAGTTAAGGAATGGGCAGAAGATATATGTTGGGATAGTTCTCGCGTGAAATGGAGTGGTGCGGTGGCCTTGAGGTGGAGCTCTCAGCACACAATCAGGAGGCTGTGAGTTCAATCCTCGGTAGAGGCAGATATTTCTCTCTCTGGGCGCATTGAGAATGTCTCTGCTGAACAAAACTCCGCATTGGTAACAGGAAGGGCATCCAGCCAGTAAACACTCAGCTCCATTCAGTTGCCCAGACTCCACCCGCAAGGGATTATGGGGTCATTAAAAGAAGATGATGAGATGATGAATGGATTTTCTAAAACCATATAATTCAGAGAAGAAAAATCCAAAGACCATGGCATGAACTCCCATCTGTCCAAAAAGAGTTGAACTTTCTAATCTTTGAGAATGTTCTGTTTTACCTAAGTAGTCATTTTTTTCTCCCTGGCTTTCTGTTTTCTCCACGCATTCTGGAAAAAAAAATTGTTTTCTTGCCTTTCCGAAGATTTGTTATGAGTCAGAACAGTGGGCCCTTCAGGGTTTGAAGTATTTGGCAGTGTTCCTGAACAGCCCATCAAAAAAAGGGGGAACAAAATAAACAATGTATAAACAAGCATTTAAATCCATGTCTTCCTCAATGCACATTGGCCTATCGTTGGGCAGGGCCTTTTGAGGGAGTGATAGTCACTTCACAGGCATTGGGCCTTGAGGGAAGGCATCTTTGATGCTGTCTAACTTATTTGGTGCAAAAGATGGAGGTCTTTCAGAAGTGAAGATCTGAAGCAGAAACTGGGAAACGCAGGAGAGGGCCTGCAAGTGAACGTGATGAAATTTCATAGACTTTCCTGTGCTCGTGGAAGGGTGAAGAATCGATGGCCCTACAGATTCTGTTAAAGCAGGGGTCTTCAAACTTGGCAAATTTTAAGACTTGTGGTCTTCAACTCCCAGAATTTCTCCTCCAGTCATGTTAGCTCAGGAATTCTGGGAGTTGAAGTCCACAGGTCTTAAAATTTGCCAAGTTTGAAGACCCTTGTGCTAAAGCTTCATCTTGAAATGACTTCTAATGCCCCTTCCACCTGATTGTAAAGAATGAGCAGAACTAGGCAGTCCCTCAAATAACCAGTCCTGTGCCATGAAGCTCTTCTTAGAGATGGTCACCAGCACCTTCAATGGCACCCAGAAAGCAAGCTTCCAGAATATTCTACTGAGAACTCCTTTGACCCGTGGTCAATCATATTTAGAAGTGTTGCCCTCATGTAATTAAGGCATGTGTATTTAAGTGGGCAATCCAACTGGAAAAGCTTTTGGGGAAGGCTCACTTCAAGCTAAACTCATTTGAGGCTATGAGCTTCTATTATTTATTACCATTATTCTCTAATGCCTGGCATCCATGTTGCACTGAAACACCACAGAGTAGAGTAGAGTAGAGTAGAGTAGAGTAGAGTAGAGTAGAGTGGAGTGGAGTGGAGTGGAGTGGAGTGGAGTGGAGTGGAGTGGAGTGGA